TACATCCTACTTTGCACTGCTAGGAAACATGAAACCACAGCCTGCCCGAGATCCCGGAGCCAGTCACGGGGGAAATTTGGCTTTACACTTTCTCCAAAGCAGATATGTTGATTCGTCTGTCAGTCCACACTACTTTCTATATTCTTCACCAACCTCATAATTCAAAGGCATCAATTCTTCAGAAGTCTTCCTTAGTCATTGTCCGGCTTTCACATGCATATGAGGCAACTGAAAATGCCAAGACTTCGTTCAGGCACACCTCAGTCTTCAAAGTGACAGCATGCTCTTTAAAATGGGGTGGGAACACATGTGACTCAGGAGCAGGAATCAGAAGAGAGATACCAGATGGGAAGGGTGAAGAGAGGTGGGGGAGGGGAAGAAGGGGAAACTGATTGACACACAACCACACACACCCCTCTAGGGGAAAGAACAATGGAAACCATGGGGGAAGGGAGACAGTGGTCGGTGTGAGACATGGAAATAATAGTTTATAATCTATCCATGAGGGTGGGAGGAGGGGGGAAAAAGAGGAGCTGATACCAAGGGCTCAATAGAAACTGTCTAGAAAAGAATGAGAGCAACATATGTACAAAAATGCCTGATACAATTGATGTATGGATTGTAATAAGCATTGTAAGAGCTTTCAATAAAATGATTTAAATACATAAATAAAATGGAAGGGGAGCATTCAGCATGGATGGCAATTCAGGAAACAAAACTAGGAACAACGGTGGGCCAATAATGATGGGAATAGTAAGGGTTCTAAAATTGATGGCAAGGAGGATGTAGTTTTTCTGGTCATATTTGATCAATGGAATTGTATCTGAGAGGAATTACTGAGAGGTGAACAATGGATAAACATGATAGTGGATCAGAAGGAAAGAAGAAGAAAAAATATATTATATATAGGTATATATGTAAATCTATAAAGATAAGTGTATTTGTATACATATATATGTAAATGCAACAAGGAAGCAGATGGATTTGTTCTAATAATGTGGCAATGTATAATGCTCACCTTCCTGACACCATCGCTGAAGACAAAATGGGTGCATAAGCAAATGTGAAGAAAGGTGATGGTGCCCAGATAATAAAAGATACAGTGTCTGGGGGTCTTAAAAGCTTGTAGTCAAACAAGGGGCCATCCAGCAGGGAAGCAACCAAGCCTATGTGGAAGAAGCACACCAGCCTGTATGATCATAAGGTTTCACAGGAAAAGGTATCACAAGCAACCATATCGATGTGAAGGGGCGTGGATTTAGTGAAGACCCAAAACTCACCTGTAAGAGAATTGGACAGTCCCTCTCAGAAAGGCCACACAGAGGGATGATAAATCCAAGGTGCCGTATAGCACTGATGAAACACATAAACTATCCTCTAGTTCTTTAACATTTCCTCCCCTTACTACTATTGCTTTTTTTTTTACTTCATTAGTCATGTTAGACTTGGTATATGTTAATTTGTATAATTAACATCATTGGATACATGAACGCCAAGATAGATAACCTGTGGGAAACAGAAGGATTTCTCCCAAGTTGTCTCCCCCAAATATATGCCAAACTTAGCTGCTTGCTAATGACTATACACTTGGAGGTCATCAGGAGTAGATCAGGGGTTATTCTCCCTGAGAGCTATCAGCCATCTAGACCAAGCAGACACCACTGTTTATCCACAACAAATAGGGCCCACTCCCTTCTGATAAGGATAGTAGTTGTC